AGACAAGAGAAACGCCCCTATCTCCGTGCCGGAGGGCGTTTTGTGCAGCTGAAAAGACGGACTTCTGTGGCCCGCATCGGTCTTTACCAGGACAGGGAGGTCCGCGCTGGGCTCCGGAGACCCGAGGCGCGGTTTAAAAAATTAAATGCGGATTTCTGGAACTCAGATCACCGTCAGAACCAGGTCAGAACAGACCACCACAAGAGACGTGCGGCTCAGCGGACCAGTCAAGCTGGATTCTGGGTGGGATCCAGCTCACAGAAGCCCGCAAGAGCTCCAGCACTGGATCACAGGCATCTCTCTCTCACCTCAGTGGACCAGCCGAGCAAGCTTTCTGGGTCGGAACCAGATCAGAACCACCATGGACCTCTAGGGAAGGATCGTGGGCAGCTTTTAAAAACATCAGCTCAACTGGCTCGCCGATGTCTGGGTGGGATCCAGCTCACAGATACCCGCATGAGCTCCAGAACCAGATGACAGGCGTCTCTCTCCCTCTCTCTAAGAGCTAAACTACGATACGTGCACGGATATTAGCGAGTATGAGACCGCTGACAGACACTCATTAGTATTAATATTATATTAACTGACCGATACTATTGTAATTGTCTGGCACACGATAGTAATCAGTACAATATTGTGATGTTAGCACATGAGTTTAAGCTAACATGGTTAACTCACCAGACCCCCACCCCCACCCCACCCCGCTGCTGCTCCTCCTCAATCTCTCTGCTTTGGCCGATTGTTTCTCCCTCTGGTTTGACTCTGCCCTCTGGGGCATGCAGCAAACTCATAACTTTATGGTTTTGGTCCATCGTGAGTATAATTGTGCACATTTAAAGTTTCCTCTGTGTCAGAGCCGGCATTATAATCTATACTTTTCAATGGATTAAGCTAACAGGACTCCCTCAGATGATGTCACTTGGTTTGGCCAAAAAAAAAAAACTTTCTCACAAAAATTACTCTAAAAGCCTAAATAATTTGTTTGTGTAAAAAAATGTTTTAAACGAGTTTCTATTATGTTTCTCTAAACATTGGTTCATGGGAGTCTCTAACCTGCAGTTTGCTCTTTAAGTAAAAATTACATCCTGTGGTAAAATGTGGTTACTGGTTATTTGATTACAAATTACAGTTGCAGGTGCTGCAGTATTAGCTTGCAGGACACACGAAAACCCCACACTCACTGATGGTGAACTGCAGTTATGTCCCTCCTTCCTTTGTTTTGAAAGGAGAAGAACTGACAATCCCCCCAGCCAGCTGGATATAAAATATGTTTCAGTATAACCTTCTTTCCAAAACGACTGAAGCAGTAGACTCTTTCGGGATTATCTCACCATATTCTTACATACTGCACCTTTAAAGCACATACAAAATTCCTAAACATGGAAGAATCAACTCTGAAAACATCCAAACAGACCTGCTCCCTGTCAATTTTGAATGATTTCTCGTTTATTTTGCTCAGAAGATCAAGCAAACGCATCTTCACCAGACTCCTCTCATTAGGCATAAATCAAACTTCTTACACTCATGGGTAGGACATTAGAGATACAATAGCAAATACATTAACCCATTAACAAGTTAATTCACTTGTTCAAAATGTCTAAATGTTTTTCTTCTTTATTTTAAACATGAATGTACGCACACACACACACCGACACCCTCCTAACCATGTTTTTGTTTGGAGAGTTTCTTCTGAAACATACACGCTCATTAGTTTCTGCTTGTCATCTTTCAACAAGGAGCTGTCACACTTTTGACCACACACACACACACACACACACACACACACACACACACACACACACACACACACACACACACACACACACTGCCCCCCGGTTAGACTCCAGGCGCCTGTCATGACCCTCCCAGCGAATGTCCGCCCCACTGCAATAGTTTCATGACTGTTGGGTATAAATAAAACTGCTTGTCTGTCTTGTTTTGTTTGCTGGAAAAACAAACAAACACACACCCACACACACATCTTGCACACAATACACAGTTTCTGCATTCATTATGAAATGAATTCACCTCATTAATTTACCATTCATACACGTGAAAGCTCATTATTAAAAGCTCAGTCTAACGAGGCGACCTGGCTTCTAAACAAACTCTGCCTATCATCTCAGAACCTTTTCAGTCACTTTTCATTTTGTGTTTCACATCTGGAGTGGATTAGTGGAATATGGATTAACCACTGAGCTAAAAGTCACCCATGAATTATCTGCCTAAATACCACCAGTGACAAGATACATGATTGATCCAATTGCCAGAAATACTGAAAGATTTTCTTTACATTTGAAGTTTGTACCTGATAAATCTGCACTATAAATACCATCCTCTCAATGCATCACTTTACTACAGGGTATTAATGAGGAGGCTTTATTAAGAACCAGAACATTTAAAACAAAACGCAGCATGTTTTGATCAGCTGGGTTTTCATCTATACTATGTAAAAATAAATAAAACATTTATTAGCTGTTTACAGTCCTTAAGTGCAGCCAACAAATAGAATCATTGTAGTGTTTCTCTCACTCAGGGTATCTGCGGTTCCTTAAAAGTCTTAAAGTCTTACCGTAAATCCTCTAATACAGGCCGGTATTCAATTAAAGGCCGGGTCTCCAATTGGGTCTCCAATTGTGGCCGGTGTCAGAGTTAGTTTAGGTAAATAATGGCCGGTCTCTTATTGTGGCCGGGTGGAATGTAGTAACAAGCAAGTATGAGCGTCCCGGTGGCAGGGTTATAGTCCCCAAATCAACCAGCAGGAGGCAGTAGACGTTCACGCAGACCTTTATTAAGCTTTTTCTTCAACGCTTTGTAACGCTACAGACACGATCCTCTATCACGCTCCTACCACACAGAGTCACGGTGTCAGTTAACCATGCTAATTCAACCCGCTCCACAGAACACACATCACCTTCCCTGTGGCTTACATAACACTCACACAACACGCAAATCAGCACATAGGAACTAGCAGAATGATAGGAAACACATATGACACAATACCCAGAATGCACCTGGCTTACAACCCCAGCCAGGTCATTACACTATCAAGTTCAAAGAGAACGTGCTGATTATGCTGCAGAACACTCTGGAGAGCAGCAGTAGGGGGTGTATGAACTAGTCAACTTCACTATAGTGACTTTTTATGCCTGTCGTCGACTAGTCGCTGTCACGTGATAATGACCGGCAAGATGCAGCCCTCGGAAAAGACAGCAGCCTGCTGTCAGCAGGTGACAAGCTCCTGCGCTCAGGGGGTGGGGGTGGGGGGGGGGGCAACGCGCTGTGCCAGACCGTAGGCACTGACACGCGATCGTTCATGTCGGTTCATTTCCTTTAATGTTTTCTGTCTTTTATTTGCGCCTGATGTGTATCGCTGCTGTGGAGCGGGGCGCATCAACTTGTCCCTGATGCGGCCGGCAAGCAGGGAGCGCTCCGCTGTTTTCGCGGTCGGTAGATCTGCCTCCTGAGCACGGCCACAGTAACAATCAGGTGTCGCCACCTCAAAAACTAATTTAACACGCGATCGTTCATGTCAGTTCATTTCCTTTAATGTTTTCTGTCTTTTATTTGCGCCTGATGCGTTTGCTGCATGCTGTGGAGCGGGGCGCTGCTCGCATCACCTTGTCCTCCGACGCACTGATCACTGATACGGCCGACAAACAGCGAGCACTCCGCTGTTTTTGCGGTCGGTAGATCTTTTAGAACTGCAGTTCAAAGGTAACTCATGAGGTGAATATATATGAACCCAGGTAGCAGTTTTTCTTTAGGATTGAGAGGAGATGCAGGAAGATAATAAACAGGCAGGACAGAAAAATAGTCAAAATAAAAACAAGTTAGTTTTTGTACCTGCTGTTGCAACAAACAGACACCATTGAAGGTCATCAGAAGTGAGGAACAGAAAATGAAATAATTATTTTAATGTTTAGAGCAGCAGGAACTCCGAGAGGCTGCAGGCGCATCAGTGAGTTTGCGGCCGCTGCGCAGGGGGAGGGGGGAGAGGGCTAAAGCAGGGGGAGGGGGGAGATGGCTGAAGCAGAAACTACCGTTGTTAAAAGAAATGTGTTTAACTTTGAAAATGTGGGCGCAATTTTAATTGTCAAAAACTCCAATGAACATTAGTTCATTTTGCTCAAATGGAAATAGAGGCCTGCCTCTAATACTGGCCCTCCTTCCAATAAAGGCCTGGAGCTTGATGAGCTTGAGTCAAATAGAGGCCCGGGCCTGTATTAGAGGATTTACGGTAAATTTGCTTTTCCAAATTTAAGGCCTTGAAAATCCTTAAAAATGACAAATAATCCTTAAATCCAGTTTCCAAAGGTCTTAAATTACCAAAGACCCAATAAACAAGATTCTTTTATTTCTATAAAATTTTCGTGAATTTCTAGTTTGTGTTCTGCTTTTTTTGTGTACGATAATGGCGTAAGCGGAACCGTACACGTTCAGTTGCTTGTGAAAGGGGGCTATTTTTAGATGAGCACATTAGCTGGTTAAGCTGGTGGGAGCTTGCGCCATGGGGAAGTGCAAGTTTAATGGTAACTGAATGGCTAATCCCACGTTTGCGACGTGGTTAGCACCGTTTCCAGGCAATAGCTGGAAATTATAGTTTAAATTAAATTTTAAAAAAGCTTAAATTTGGTCAAAGTGGTCTTAAAAAAGGTCTTAAAAAGTCTTAAATTTGGCTCCATTAAACCTGCAGACACCCTGCTCACTGAACAGTGATGTAGCAATTGTTTGTCTTTTTTGTTGCTGTTTAAATGCTGAAATCTCCCACAAAAAAATCATCCTCACACCCAGCAGGGGTCCAGAATATATTCCCATTTTTCAAGTTGTTTAAACAAACACTGCTGCACGTTTTTCCAAGGTCCTGCTTGTTTACACAGTTTATTTTTTGTAATACGTTCATCCAGAATGCATGTAGCTTTGCTGTTTCTTTTGGTTTGTTTCTGCTTTCAAACATTCCCTCCTCTCACCTTTTCTGCATCCCCATCTCTCTCCTGCAGGTTGCCCTATGCAGGATACTTTGGAGGAGTTTCAGGCCTCAGTAAAAAGCAGTTTCTGAAAATCAACGGTTTTCCAAACGAGTACTGGGGCTGGGGAGGGGAGGACGATGACATTTACAACAGGTGAGTGAGGAAGTATCTTCTCCTCTTAAAAGTGACAATTTACAACAAATTACAAAGTGACCCAAGAATTTAAAACCACATTTAACTTGTTGTTGATTATAGGGGTGTCTAATGTAGCATACCCTCTGTGCTGTCCAAGACATGCTTTCATATGCTGTCATATGCAAGTTAGTAATGTTGAACATAGTCATCAAGAAACAGCTTGTTCTGAGAAAAGCATAGATGTACTGCCTCTGCTAGGGATGGGCAGTCAGCTAAACTCCTTCCCCACATCAAGACTCTGACGACATGATTCCCGGTTCACAGGTTTATTGACACAGGGAAAGGTGAAACTGTAACAAACAGTACAAGGCATAATCACTGTACTTATTCACCATGTACATATATAACGATGAAAATGTATTAACCCAGTTTCTTTTTAAATATGTCAACATGCAATGTCCATATGAATTACTTATCTTTTTAACTCAATTAAAAACATCAAATTATGATTTTAACAAGTCTCGCTATAATGAATGGCTTTAATGTGTTTGCTGTTCTCCTTTAACTAGCTCCATTAGCGATTGCTAGCTCAAACTGCACAAGATCGGTTTTATCATTAAACTTACAAAAAATTAACTTACTCTAAAGAAAATGATTTATACATGCACATAACATATAAAACAAGTCTATACATACCCACAATGCTACCAAAGACATAGGATGTATGTGGATGCCACTGGATCCATGCTGCACATGCCTTCTCCTTAATTCACAGACTTACTTCCCATTTACTGATGACTTCATGTCCTGTTACCAACTGCAAGTTTTTAAGGTGGCACCAGGGAGTTACAATTGCATATTTAAACATTTACCTAATACAAGAAAACAGTCTTCATTAACATAACCTTTGATATCAGAACAGACACACCACTTGACATTTGCATGTCCGAACCCACTTCATCATCTGCAATTTAGAAATGGTGGTCATGGTAATGCTAACCGCAGAACATTGCTAGCCTGAGCTCCTGCTAACAGTAGTCTGAGCTACTGCTAACACTAGCCTGAGCTGCTTATCAGTGCGTTTACATGCAGCCAGTAACCCTTTTAAAACCCGAATATTCACAATAACCCGGTTCCGCAGGTCCTTGTAAACACCACCAAAAACCCGGATATGCTCATAACCGGGTTTTTAAAAACCCGGTTACTACACCTGGGGTAACCATTTTCTAACCCGAATGTCTGGTCGTGTAAACGCATACCGGGATATCCCCATCAAAGCGTGTGTTCTGCGCATGCTCTGTTCGCAAAGAATCGTGGTCTTTTGAGTAGCGAGACGTCTTGTATGCGCCAGAACATCGGAAGTAAACAAGTTGGGGGCAAAATGGCGAGTCGCAGCACAGCACCACACTTTGAGTGACGAGGAAACTAAAGCACAAACAAACGCGGTCACTATCTCTGCCCAACTGGGAAACATGTTGTTGTTTTCACGGATACCAGAACAAGAAGAACCGGAAATGACGCATATTGCGTCTGGACGTAGTCCATACATCCTGACGCTACCCCAACATCCGCATTTAAATCAGGTTATGCAAGTTAGAGGTAACTCTTTTTATTTATGCTTGTAAACGGGTTATTCTGATCAACTCAGAAACCCGAATCCCGACCTTAACCTGATCATAACCCGGATATTGGCTGCATGTAAACGTACTCTATGATGCTAGCTTGAGCCACTGCCAACACCAGCCGTGCTACTGCAAGTGTTAGCCTGAGCTACTGCTAACACTAGCCCAAGCTACTTTCAATGCTATCCAGATTTTTTATTTTTATTTTTATCATGTACACTACTGTAAACCACATTTCCCATTGGGACAGCAATAAAGTTTAATTGAGTTGAATTGCTGTTGATGCTAGCTTGAGCCACTGCTAATGCTAACGCTTTACTTCAGATACTAGCCTGAGCAGCTACTGCTGATGCTAGCCTGAACTGCTGATGACACTAGCTTTTGCCACTGCTAATTCTAGCCCACGCTAATGTAAATGCTAGCCTGAGCTACTACTAATGCTAGTCCAAGCTATGTCTAACACTATCTGGAACTGTTGATGATGCTAACCCTGAACTGCTAATGCCAGCTCATGCTACTGCAAATGCTATCCTGAGCTACCGCTAATGTCCTTGTTAGACAAGAGTAAAACAACAAGGAACAATGTTGATGCATCACTCATGTTCTAGGATGTAGTAAGAATGTTCAGACAATAGACTTGATAGACCCACGGGTTGCAACATTTGTCTTTTTCCTAATTTTTCCACAACACCACTCTATCCCAGCTGGCTTAAAATTTGTGTCCTAGCTCAGTGAGCTGGGCAAATCAGTCTTTCCTTTGCAGGGCTTTATTATGGTGTTGTGTCTGTTGTCAGAGCTCCTGGGCCATTGTGAGCCTCGACAAAGTTTCATCTGCTATATCGAGGCTCAAAGAACGGCTTCCCATTGGAAAAAATATATATATATATATATATATATATATATATTTCTAGTACACCTTTAATTTATGTAGAAAAGTATGAACTTTTAAAGGCTAGGTATGATTAACACATACATTTATTTTAATGTGCATCTGCAAAAGAAGGATTATTACTAAAATATGTCCCAACTTGGTTCTTTTGGGGAATTTATTTCTATTATTGCAATTTTTGATAGAAAGAGAAAGATCTGCAAAGGAATTAAGCTTCTCAGTCCGCTTTTAATGTGAAGCTGAAGTTCTTTAATTATGCTGTTGTGTTTAAATTTGAAATCAAAGAGAAGAGTGGTTGTTTGACAAGCTGACAGAAAGATGAGTTGCATCTGCTTAATCACATGAAAGCATTTACAGCAAAGTTTGTTTAATTAATCTCCTCCTCAGATGATTCTTCAGTCTGAAATCAGTCTAATTACTTCATTGCATACCTTACATTATGATGAGAGCACTTAACAAGAGATCACTCCCAACAAAGCATCATCGTGTCTTGATGCTTGAGCTGCGGTGATGAAAGCTAAAATCAGTAAAGATTTACTGCAGAGCTTTACACATCCCCTAATTTCTGCTGGGTTAACACAGATTAGCTCAGGCAGTCAGCTGACACAGTCACTGCGGTTCAGCTAAATTCAACTTCAGAGGGAAATTTATTTCAGTCACATTTGCATTCAGAGAACTGGGCTGAAGTACATTCATTATAAGGATGCACGGCTCAGCTCAGCGTGACACCACCGCGCAGACACGATGTCACCTCTTTCGTTATTGAATCTGTATTCTTCCCTCCATGTTTGTCTATATTTGCTGTGTGTCTCTGGCTGTCGACCTCACACTGTGGAGCTTATCTTCCTCCTCTGAGTTGCAACGTTCGAGGAAAAGTGAAAATAGAGCATCTGGGGAACGTGGTGTTTAAGAATGGGCTGTGCAAAGGAAACAACAGAATATTACAGTTGTTGTGTTTTGTTACACATCTGGTGAGATGTGATAAAAGATCAATGTGGGTTCACTGAATGATCACGCAGGTATAGATCTGTATTGATGTAGTACAATGACTGATGGAGGTAAACCACCAAGTTTTTCTATTGGATAAGGCCAAAGCTCTGCTATTAGATGCTGTCTTTCCCCCTAGTTTGTCTCTGTACTTCAAGTGGGCTATTTCCACCTCAATAAAGTATCAGATGATTTGGGATGATATCATAACTCACTTAAAGAAACAATACTCCCAGACATTAACTCCCACAACCCCAAAGCTTAAACTAAGGCCTAGTAGCTGTTTTTTTTTAAACGAATACCCGCCCCTCCAAAAACTTGCATCCACACCACCTCGTTTAAAAAAAAAAACTCTGTCCACACATACCCAGATAAATACGTTGTTAAGGACATGCCAGACCTGTAGGCGGCAGTACTTCCCCCGTTCTTAACCTCGTCCTTCGTCTGTGGTCTTCCGCAAGGAGCAGTAATTCCGCTTAAAAAAACAAACAAGCAAAAAGCGCTTGGACTATTGATAAAGCGAGCACAGCTCTGAGGGCATCCATGCTGTCGGCTAGTGTAAACACAGGTCGCAGACGTGATGTTAGCATTTTTTTGTCGCGTAAAGTAACGTTGCGGACCTTAAAACTCCGGTTTTGTCTGTCCACACGCAGACACCCAAAACGGAGAAAACGCAGATCTTCACTTTGGCCGGAGTTTTTTAAAAGATCCGTTTTCGTGTGAAAAACTCCATTTTCGTGTGGATGACAGGCCAAAATTCAACGTTTTGGTAGACGAAAACGTTCAGACAAAGTGTTGAAAGACAATAGAGCTGGAGTGGTGGTTGGGGTTAAACCAAACAGAATCCAACTCAAGTCATATCTTAACTATCTTTTAACCTTCATGTTCGACTTTATAAACTTACTTTGTATTGATCGCTGAAAAAAACGTGATGAAAACTTTTTGTAATTTCTTGGAAATTTTTCCTATAAATTCTTCAAATTCTGTTTCAGTACCGGACAAAGATAGCCTAATTAAATACAAAACTCTGTTTTTTAAATTTGGTTTCTTTAATTAAAGGAAAGATGGTAACCAGACCAACGTGGTCCAATGTGAGTAAAGAAGTGCATTAATTATGTTGTGTTATTTTGTAACACATTAATTGGGAAGCTAAGTTCAGTTGTTTTAGCCACACCCGGGTCTAATTACTGAATACCTGTAGATTTACTTACAAGTAGAACATGTTTGGTAGACTAAAAGATATCAAAAAGCTGAACATCATGCCCTATTCTAAAGAAATGTACAAATAAATCTAATTCACATGCCATTGTTCAATACTTACAAGATGGGGAAAATGCCCTCCATGAGAGAGTTCCGAGGTTAAAACTTCAGCTGACCAAAAAGAACAAAAAAAAACCATCTCACCCAATGATCACAAAAGGACTTTATGGGAAATATTTTGTGGACTGACAAAACATTTAAGAAAAACATCACCACAGTCAAACATGGAGGTGGTAGTTTGATGGTCTGGGACTGCTTTG